GGCACTCGCCGATTCGATAATGTGATTTTCAACAAATAATTTCGTGTAACCCGACCCCTAGTCGGCTTCGTGTCTAGAACACAAGGATTCCGCACGCCCGATTCCACTCGCGGAGGGTCCGGCGACGATTAACTGATTTTGTGCCCGAAATCATCGCGAAATCGCGGCTGAACGGTCCTCCGGTGAGATAGAGCTAATTACAATCCGATATTCACCGATTCGTTACGTAAATATTATATAAACCTGAAAATTCCCGTGGTACGCGTTACAGCAACAGTTTCCGATGTTTCAATTCGGTATTGGGTAACGGCGCCTAATATGGAACACCATGGTGTTTCGGAAAATAATTAGCTTGATGTGTCAGTTATGGTGATAAACACTTCATTGGTAATAGAAAACAATCATATTAATGGTTGGACATCGGTTAGGAACTTGTCATTGATCGCGAAGCGTCATTGTGCTTGATGCTACGTTAAATTCCCCGAAAGACGAGGTAAATAGTCAAACCTCTTAATATACATGAGCCGAACAATTCTGTTTTTCCATGAAAATTTCAATTTTTCGGACTGCTGTTTTTCCATTTTGTTCGGACTGCTTTTGACTGTATTTATATTTACCGTGGTTTGAAGCCATTTAAATTTTTGCCTTTCCATCCGTCAGTTTATGAATGTTTATTAATCTCCTCGTGTTATGATGCAGGTTTTATTGAAAATAATTCATATCTCTCGTTTCGGCGAGCTGTTCAAATCAGGTGGTCCATATTAAATTCCGTTCCTTCGTATGCGGTAAATTGAAGCGACATTATTTCTGAACATCGTCGAGCATTGCCCCTGATCAGCCATAAATTAGCGAAAATCGAAACAATCATAGTTTTGTACAGATCACTCTTGTATTTCTTGTACACCTCGAACACGAACGCTCGCGAAATCTCAGCGCATTAACGATTAAACAGCGAGATTGAGTCAAAGGAGCTGGCTTGTTATTGCAAGCGACCCCTGCAGCGGTTGGCTTTGTCGCAGCGCAATCGTCCCCGTGTCAATACCGAATTCCATCAACGGAATACCGAAACGTTTCGAAAACGGTTGCGCGAAATGCTCGCCGGGGATCGGCCCGCGAATCGAAACGGAGCGAGACGATCCGGCGGGCAGATAAGGCGATTCTTAGAAATTCCCCCGGTGAAGGAAGCGGCGTCGGGAATGCGTTCCCCGAGCGTGCGGACTAGAGAGCCGGCCGATTACCGATCTTCAAAAAATCGGCGAGCCGGTCGGGTCCGCGACCGCGGTGCTTTCCAAGGAATCGCATTCAGCGACGGAAAAATCGGTCGGCGGAGATTACGCCCGGCTCGCCGCGTGCTGCACAGCCATCCAATTGTATCGGATGCGGGGATACGCTTGGGGCTCCAGTTACCTTCGCCGGAGAGAGGCGGTCCCGCCACGCGATGCACTTCCGAGATGGGAATCGCGTTGTCATCGGGTTTATCGCAATTATCGTGGCGCTTGCGCAAATACGCGCGAGCGTACGCGCCCGTGGGAATGTAATTAGCCTGGACGGCGGTGGCGACAATAACGCTGCTACCGGAGGAAAGTGTGGGTGCCCCGGCGAATTCGAGATTTCTTTCGAGATCCCACCGATAACGATGCGCCTACCGTTGCCCCCCCGTTTTGCTCCGATTAAACGAACGTCGACGAGTTTTATTTCAATTATCCCGGCTGGAGAACAAATATCCTAACGTGTCCAGTCTCTGAATATTCATTCCTCCGCATCGTTGAACGCTGAATGTTCGTAGGAAAAAAGAGCTGAACAGCAACTGTGCCAAGTAATTGGGGTACTAGCTTGTTTACGTAGAATCAGCGTGTTTATTTCTTTAACATACTTCGCGGAATACAACGAAACTGTGCGAGTGCGATCAACTCTTAATTTAAAGACGCTTGAAAATCTTCCGATACGAGCAACAAGGTCACTCCAGATCAACGATTCGTCTATTCGCGTATTAAAGGAACACGCCCAGAACGAGACCGGCTCGAGGAAAATACTCGAACACCCACTCGGCCGTCATCGACGCAAGAAATCACGGGGCCGGTGTCTCTCGAATGTAATTTCAAACCCGGCGAAAGTGTCGCGCCGTGTCGCACGGCTCTTGAGGGCACTCGAACAATCAGCGAAGCGAAAACCGCAAAGCGACCAGCTCGGGCGCAGGTAGAACAGGGGATGACGGAGGAGAAAAGACGCGGGGCGCGGGGGGTGACGCTGCAACGCCGATGAAAGGAGAATCGCGCACGGTCGATTCTATTCACGCGATGAACGCGCGCGGACACAAGGTTAGAAGAGATAAGCATCGCCGGATTAATTATGCGTAATGCGTCGGACGTGGGCCCGCGTGCTAGCGAGCGAGCGAGCGCGCGTACGTGCGTTCGTGCGCGCTGCACGAGGACCGACCCGCTCGCTCCCGCTCTCGGCTAACGCATTCAATTATCATTGTTACTACGAGAGTTTACAGATGTTTCCGCGATAATCACGGCGCTGGGCGATTGCGCGTTTATCCTGCCGGCCCGTATTAACCGCCATTGAATGGCAACGGTAACGAGAGAGGACCCGGTGCACGCCACTCTGGGTAATGCGACGCCGCGATGGGAACAACAAGAGTGAACAGGGTGAACCGGTGACTCGACCACGCTGACTTAATTAGCCACGTTGGAAAAATTCACGCGAATACCGGCTGACTATGCTCCAGATATCTTGGCCGCTAGACGATTCACAGGACTCTGCGCGATCGCGTGCGGAGTTGAGGCGGATTTGTGATTTCGTTGGGATCGTTGTGGATAGAGAAGATGATGTTAGACACTTAGATGATAGTTTAGATAAATATCTAACTAGTTGCGAGGTAATGCTGGTAAAAGTGGATGCGTTGAAGGGTAACATGGAAGAGCGATAAACGAGTTTCTAAATACGTGGAACGTACGGCGATAATTTTACTGGGATTTCAAACAATTTTTATACGGCTATCGCGATAACGATACCCGTAATAAAAAGAAAAAATTTCAATCAAGCCGGTCCCCGTGAATTAGTTCGCGGGAGTTGGAATTTGCATAAAAATCCACAGTCTAGCGAGAAAGTTCTGTCGACAGTTTTACGAGCGAAGAGGAATAAAACGGAGTCTGTCGAGACTTCAGTTAAATCCAAGTGTCGTCTTCACCCTCGCGGGGAATGATTAAATTGATACAGATTGTAAGTGAAAACGGAGCACGGGATCTTTGATATTCCGACTTAGAAACTGATTCGTTCCGTCTTTGATTGAATTGAGTTCAAGCTAATAGTACTTTCACCCTATAGAGCGCGGCGCTGTTTCTATCGAACGATCAATAATTTTCAAGTATTCGAACGAAGAACAGTGAAAACCGTGCGGATGGTATTTCGAACAACGAGAGTTATCGCGAGAAAGGATTGACGCCCCGTCGAGCCTCGAAACTTCCCGTCGAAGGCGTTTGACGTACAATTTCAACGGCGCAAGAAACGAATCTATGACTGGCGCAGCGTGGAACGGAAATAAATAGTTGGGGAGTTTCTGCTAGGATTCCGGTAGCGCGGAACGCGAGCAACGCGAAGGGGAAAACACGGTATTGGCGTTGCCGCGCTCTATTTCCGTCCCTCTGTTTTTCGAAGCCCTTTTTCTCTTTGCGCGGCGCTTCGTTTCGCTTTCTATATTCTTTCTCCGTTGCTCTGCCATCGGGCCGAATGTTTCCATTCGACGGCACCCCATTGTGCGGCGCCCGGCAAATGCCGAAACGCTGATGCGAAAACTGTTTTCCTTTTTTGCCTTCGTTAACCCACATTCACGGTTCGGTTCGGCTCGCTCCGGTTTGGCTTGGTTCTGCTCGCGTCTCCCGTAAACCGTTGCGCGCAGACGCACGCCCCCCGCCGGACACACGCGAACGCAAACACACCCCCGCGAGCCGGTTTACTTTTGTTCGGTCCGTGAATTAAGCCGATTTCTAGTGTTTACCGACAATAGCTCGCAATTATCTCTTTCGCGTGCGGCGGGATGCGCGGCCGTTGCTGCGTCGCTGCTTTCGGAAAATCGCAAACAGCGTAGCCAGAGGAAGAGGGGGGAGAGAGAAAAAGGAGGCGGGTTTTGGATTCGTCGAATGAAATTTGTTGGCTCGACCGTTTCGTTACGGCAACGTGACGGCCGCCGCCTGCCTCTCTCCCTCTTTATTCGACTGCCAGTAAAAATCCACGGCGAGACGCCGTCATCGCTCGCGCGTCCCATGGTGGAGCAGGTGCGCCTGTTGGATTAGGCGGGAAATCGCGCGGATAACATGTTTTCCTTCGGTAATACCGCGCGACAAAGGGATTTCGCGAGGACGCGACTGACATCGAGTTTAAATCTCCGGGAAAAAAGCGCGCAGGGTGTCGGACGCTCGTAAACATGGTTCGAGCGGGTTGGACCGGCAGCGTGATGATCCGATGGATTGGGGGAATTCAGATACTGTTTTGTAAGGTTACTGCCAGTTTTCCGGCACCGGTAACGTACATTGTTCGACGAACGAAGCAATAGTTTCCTGTAACCTAAAATCCTGTCCGCCAATTACTTGTTTCCACTTGCTGTAGAAACGGTTGCTTTCATTCGGACTCCATGAACCCTCCGCTTTAAATAACCGATTACTAATTATTCACTATAGAATCTTTAACAATTACTTGATTCCTAGAAGTAATCAAATTTTCCAGTTACACTTTTACAACCGCAAAGTGTACGGGATATGTACATTTTTATCCCCAATTCGGCCGGCCGATTCGCAAACGCGGCGCAACCGGTAATCAAGATATCCCGGATTACCTACCATTACTTAACCGAGCGCGAATCGAGGGACGCGCATGCCGGCGAAAATATTCGCCCGTAATCAGCGAACACGATCAAAAAATTCTTGGGCTATTCCGCGGCGTGCGTTGGCCGCGCCGGTAATTACTCTCACCCCTAACGATGCGGTCGTTTTGTTTTCCAGGCGTAGTCGGAGCTCGGAACTTCACGATGGAGTGCCGCAAGGGTCGACGGAAAGGTCTACTCAGTGGCCTGGTGTTTGCGTGGCTCCTAACCAGCGGTTGTACCGTCGCGGCGCGAAATATAGGTAAGTGCGAAAGTATTTACGATAGCAGTGCGCGCCGGCCGATTCCTCCGTGCAACCTGTCGTCCGCGTGGCCCTCGGCTCTGTCCTTGTGCCAATTAAGCCCCCGTGCGACACCGCCGCGCGACGACTACGCGTGAATATTTACGTGCTGCACGACACGAGCGTGTTCGTGGCCGGCGAAAAATTATTTCCCCCGGCGCGACGCGGCCGGACCGCGAGCAACGCCGAAGGCATTTTGGACGGAGCCGAGGGTGCTCGTGTGCGGTGCTCCTACTTTGTATACCTTCTTTCGGCCGGCGATGGTAATTGGTAACGAACAGCGCGGTGGCCAGCGCGGCGGGAAATGGAAATTCGCTTCTTGTCGATTTCGGAATGCCAAGTGCCTCTCTCGGTTGCTTCTGTGCGCCGAGAACTCGGCTACGCTGGAACTATGTTCAACCGAACGCTTTAACGGTAAGAAGGACTGAAACTACTTGGACGTTCGTACGCTGCCACGGAGAACGGTATTGGACCTCTTTGCTGAATAAAGTCCCAGCATTGGAAAGTTTGGTCTTGTTTGACTACGATTTCTGTTACACAGGAGAGACAAAATGTTTCGAACGTTAAAGAAAACTTTCGCGGCTTCTGTGTTAATTCAGTCGGGAATCAGCTAACGATCTGCTTACAATAGTTGCACCCTCTACGTGGAATTTAGATAAATCGAGTCCCACCGTGTTAAATTTGTTATTAAGTAACTATAAATCTTAATCAACTGTAACGAACGAACTATTTTATCCGTGGACGACTATCATTTACGAATATTATAAATTGCCCACCGACATAGTCCGATATATCAAATAAATTGACCGTTTAGAGTAACTTTTTTAATTCATCACGAGATTTCAACGCAATAACATTTGACAGCCGTGCGCTTCGATTCGCGGACAACGCGAAGCGCCGCTTTAGAGAGGCGAGGTTGGGGGTGAGTTTCCGAGCGGCGGTTTGGCCGATAGCGAGGGATAGACGACGCAGATCGACGCGTTGCATATCCGGTCGATCGAAGCCGCAGTTCGGCGGCCGCGCTTACCGGGCTTGACCGTTGGAACATTTATCGGAGGGCAAACACAGTGTGTGTTTAATAAAGAGGATGGAAGTAGCCGAACGTGTGTACACTGCGCGGTCCGCTGGATTGTGCTATCGCGGTGAAGATCGGTCCCTTCGACCCTTCGAGAGCCCCTTACCACGCGAATAAGGACTAGGACGGGGTGCTTAGGCGGTCGATTGTGTACGCAGCGCTGGGCCGAGAATTAACTCATTCTCCACGCTAATTGATTTAGGTGAAGCCGCACGTGAAGTGATATTGTTGCGGGAAGAATCGACGTTCGTCCCGTTCCTCGAGGCGCCGTGTAATTAAAGGCCACACAGACGTCGCGGGGTCCTCGGTCAAATATTTGGAAATGTTTTCGCGACAGATGCGGAGTTTCGAGTGGCGTGTTTAGTCGCTACACTCGGGGCGAGAAGTATTTGCTCGCCGGGGGTAGTTCCCGGAACCCCGTTGTGAAATTCAATAGGAATATCAATTTGTAAGTATTACAGATCAAGCACAATATTACGCTATACTTGGACAAACAGACACCCTTGTCGGACGAGGATTCAAAGGAATTATGGTAATCCCTAATCTTCTTCGTACCAAGTATCAATTAAGTTACACGGGAAATAGGTAATCTTCCGAAATCCCTTTCTTTCTGTGTGTACGGGAATAATGCGGAGGAACAATACGTAAGGAGGTGGCTTTCCACGCATGAACACACGAAACGGGCCGGTGGAAAGGGTGATTTGTCTGGTTGTGCAACCGACCCGAAGTTCAGGGACGCGTGTTACATACACGCCGGAGCGGAACCGAGCATTAACGAGCGGCAGTCTCAAGAGCGATTTCGAGTTGTGAAGGGTCGCGAAAGGAGGCCGAGGCAAAGGGGAGAGAAGAGTTTCTCTATTCCTTCGCGATTATCGCACACTTCGGTGCGCCTAATCCGCGCGACCGCGTCCTCCCCCGCGGTTCTCCAGCCGCTGAAGCCCTTCCGGTCCCTTACGCCTGGAGATCTTCGTTCGTTCGGCCCCCGTATCGCCGTTCCCCTCGCGCGGCGAGAGCGCGAACGTGTTTGCCGGGGAAAACCGCGGGAACTCGTGCCGGATAGATAAATCAAAATCGCAGGCATTGTGCGGCGTGCGATCGACGGCTCAGACGGCCATGGCCGCGCCTTTGATTCCCATCTCGGGAACGGAAGCGGTCGGAGAAAAATAGCAGAAACTAGATAAAGGGACCGAGAGTGATCGTGACGTGACCGTTCCGGGCAACGGGCAGCTCTATCTTTTATTTACCTCCCGCGATATTATTCGTCTCGAGTGGCTCGTGACTCTGAAAAATCCGCCGGTTTTATTCGGTCCGTGGAATCTCTAGACGCCGCGTAGAATCTCTGTCCTAGTATTTATCTCCGAACGTTCCGATTCGATTCGCCCCGACGCGAGCGGCTCCTCGGAGCGATACGATAATTAAATATCCCGATTCGACGTTGCGATTATCCGGCACAGTCTCATCGGGGAGTAGAATTCGATAAATAATGATCGCGCACATTAGCAGGGACGCTAATGCGCCCGACAAAATGCATGAGAATAATCGGAGTGATGCAAAATTCATAAGAATAATCAGAATATGTCGGTTGCCGGTATCGTGTACATAAATTTAAATAACATTAGCCGGCGACTTCTGTCCGCGCCGGAAGAAACGATTACAAATAATCGGCCGACACGTTACCGTCCGGCTCACTCGAATCGATATCGGCACGCTTCCCTCGTAAATGAATAATCCGCCCGATCAAGACCGCCGCGCGAATTTTAAGCAGCGGTAGACGCCGTCCGGGCCGAGACATTTATTCTCGACAGGTCGCGGCGTATGTCTTACTCGGGTGGAAATACTCTTTGCAGCTGTGGACCACCTGGGACACCGGTCACGGAGTTTCCTCGCTCCTCCTCCGCCTCGTTCGATGCAACGCCGCTGTCCCTTTCTCGTCCCCCTTCCCCGTATCTGCCTCTCTCGTTCCTCTCCGTATCAACGAAGATTTATACACGCGCGAAGGTAAAAGGAGAGAGGGCCGAGGGGGCGGTGGCGAGCAATTTACAGCCGGCACTTAGGTCGCCGCGGCGCGTTCTGCGCAATTAATATTTATGTAGGATAGATCGGTAATCCTATTATACACTCGGCACAATATCGGGATAATAAGCATCGTGGACAGTGCGTGATTATAGGGTGCGCGGCGTCGTCCCCGAGGCGACCGAGCGAGCGAGCGCGCGCGAGCGGTCCGCGCCACGGCGCCGGTGTCCTTCGAAGGATAAAGATTACCGAGCGAAAAATTTCTCACGGTTGCGCGCCGAATGAAAAATCACGGGGGTACCATTCCGCACCGCGGCTCCTCTTATTTACTCGCGGCCGTAATCCGCCTTTAATTATTTCTCGAACCGGCACCGGCCGTGGGGGGCTGCCTTTTTCTCCTTCTCCCTCGTCGTTAGATGCGCAGATAATAACAAACGAATTACACAGTCGGCCTCGGCTCGAACCTCTCGCTGCCGGTTAAAAATCGCCGATCACCCGATGAAGAATACACCGGGCGCAGATAAGTCGGCTTTAAATTCGCGCGGTACACCCCGTCGCGCGAGTTCCAACCCCCCTATTTCGAGATCCGGCGCGTCCCGTTGATAAGGAACATAACTCGCGCGTCGACGTCGCACACGAGAAACGGTTCGCAGCCGGCAACGGAACTGCGCCGGCTCAACGTCGTTCGCCAACGACCGGACAAACAACCTCTTCCCCTGCGAACCCGCGACCTTCTCCTCCACGCAGGTCGGGTAAACCCGACGGTCGTAATTCGCCGCGGACCACGGCGTGTCTAAGATTTGTGGTACATCGGCAACACACGGTGGCCCCAATTTACCGCGCATTACGTCGGTTTTACCGGTTGTTCCTCGGCCAATTCCGAGCCACCCCATCCTCGTCCTTTTTGCCCCCTCGTTGCTGTACAACTTGCCCTCTCGCCTCTATTTCGCAACTCCGTTACGATTGTTTCCTCGACATGTGTTTCTCGAGGCATTTCCAACTTTGGTTACTTCCGTTTCCTGCAGAATTTGAGGTTACTTTTCGAATGTACCTCGTGGTTGTTTCATGATCTATTTTAATTAGCAGCGAACAGCGCGTCGCGTAAACGATTCGACTAAACCGAGTTGTATTTGTTCGAGAACGTTACGGTATTACAGGTGGTTCCTGTTGAGCGAATTAAGAACGAAATCTGCTGCAACATCACCGTTCATGCTTTGCTTCGGAGGATACAGAGCAAACGCTCGTATCCGCCAAGAGCGCCGGCTGCTGCAACACCGTTTCATGGTTCATATTTTAACCACGTAACAAAGCGGTTAATGATACCCGGGCACCCGGCGTCGGCGATCGCCCTCCCGCATTAATCCTTGTTCAAAACCGCTACAACGTGACTAATCTAATTTCCAATCATGCACGAGCGGTCGCCACGAGCCCCGTGCCTCTCCCTTCGTTGCTCCTATGTTCTTTCCTCGCCGGGTCCGGGCCAGCGACGCGTTTCCGTCGTGCTCGCCGAGAATTATTCGCCGGTAACGACCCGTCTGACGACTAAATTTACTTGGTCATCGGCCCGATCGATACGAATTAACCTCCGATTAACGGCAGACCGGAAAGAAGAGCTTACGCGCGACGCCCGCGTACCGTTTCACTCGTCCAGCCATCTGGATTGAATCCCGCCGATAGTGAATTGAATTTTCGACTATTCCGTGATTCATTCTCGCTCCCCGTCCACCATTCATCGGATATTTAGTCGAATATATGTCGCGTTGTGTTTGTTACGCATCGATGATACGGGTACCGTAGGTTTAGCTCAAGTTCTGAAGTTTTCGCGTACATCGTTATTCAATAAGAGTACCGAGAAAGAAGAAAAAGGCCAATG